CTGTACCTCTTTTAGTGTTCTCATTATTTGTTAGTGTTAACTTATGAAATAATAAACCACCTTTTGGGATATCCTTTTTAAAGAACCGCTTGTTAAATTATTTGAATCTCACCTTGCCTACACTTCAGCCCTAGCTCCAGCCAGCCTCCTTTCTCTTTTCCCTCCCCACCAGTGGGGCAGTTTATCACGGCCACTGTCTGGCTGGCCCAAATGGGCCAAGACGCCCTCACTGAATTACAGAGTGGCCACAGTTCTGCCTCAGGGTCCCTAATAGATGGCTGTTTTTGAAATCATTTCTTAACATTCCGCCCAACCAGCGCTTCCTGTTTCCAACCTGTGTGCTTTCAGGAAATCAGCAGAAGAGCCCACTGGAGCCCAGAAGTGAGGCTCAGGGGTTCCGCTCCCTCGGCCACCTTGGCTAAATGTGAAGAGAGAGAGAGAGACTTTCCTGGGGGGAGAGAGAAGAGGTGTGATGGGGGAGAGACCCGAGGACAGAGGCAATCACGTGATCCAGGGGAGCCCATGCCACTGGAGCGAATGCCGGGCCCCTAAAACGTTTCTCATTGTCGACCCCGAAATTTCAAGGTCACCACAACACAGGCCCTACACAATACAGGACACCCTCCACCCCCCACCCTAGACAACAGTCCTGTCAGGTGGTCATTTTCAGACCACCCTGCAGGCCTGTTACAAGGCTTGGCATACGGGATCCCGAGAGTAACCCCGGAGTGACTCTCTGGAGCTTCCTTCGGGTCTTTGGAGACCACCCTCGTGTGTGCTCTGCTCCACATTCCCAGGTGTGAACAGTCCCACTCCTGCGTGACTGGACAGCAGGGAGATGGCCTTTTGGGAGGGAACCTGGGGCTCCCAGCCAGCCCCTCTCCAGACGAAGCGGGGCATTGTCCTGTTTGCTGCTGATAAAGAAGTGAGAAGGAGGTGGCCCCGGAAAACCAGAGGTGAGAGAACTCTTGTAGGGATAACTTGCCTGGTCCCTCCCTAATTAGGGAGTGCAGATGAGTTCCACATTAGACCACTGCTGCTTGCAAGGGCGGCATCTTTTCCAAGAAAGGCTTTGTTGCTGCAAAGGGCTTGGAGACCTCTGCTCCGCAGATTGCCCAGGGGCCCCGGCCCTTCAGCAGAGGGCAGGAGACAGCGTAGAGACGCCCTTTTCCGGTGTTCATGGCTGATCTGGGATAAAAGGAAGCAGCCCTGGGATCCTGTCCATGTGTTTTGTGCCCCGGTGGTTGACTGCCTTTCCCTGGCTCTCTCGACTCCATCTGTCCCACCATGAGCCAACAACGGAACCTCAAATCTGGCGGTGGTGACAAGGGTGAGTTCAGTGGGTGCTTGCCGTGGTGCCCAGGAAGCTGTGGGCAGCACAGCTTCTTATCGGTCTCTGGTAAAGTGGCTTTGGCAGCCGGAGGGAACCGACGTGTGGCTTTCAATGTGGCGGGCGGCGGCAGTGTTGGGACTGGAGGCTACGGTTTAGGGCGTGGCTCTGCACATGGAGGGGGCCGGGCCAATGGCTTTGCTGGCAGCATCTTTGGCAGTGTGGCCCTGGGTCCTGTGTGCCCATCAGTGTGCCCGCCCGGGGGCATCCACTGAGTCACGGTCAACAAGAGCCACCTGGCCCCGCTCAGAGTGGAGCTGGACCCCGAGATCCAGGAAGTTCGGATGCAGGAGGGGGAGCATATGAAGGCTCTGAACAACAGGTGCACATCTTTCATCAACCAGGTGTGTGTCCTCAGAGGAGGACTGGAAGGCATGGGCGGCTTCCCTGTTGCCTGAGAATGGACGAGGGCCACTAGGCATTGCAGGTAGACCTCAGGAAGGACCTGCTGGTCACTGGGGACAGCAGACTCAGACACTGGGTAGGGCAATGGCATACAGAACTGCTATGCTTCCTTTGGGGTATAGGGTAGAAAAGGGTGAGAGGTTTGTTGGGAAAAAGGGGGCCTGCCATGAGACCCAAAGAGCACTTTTTTTTCTTCCCCCTTTGATAGAGGACAGCTGGGTCGATCCACAGCTCTTACAAAGGAACCGAAGGCCTGATGAAATGAGCACCATTCCCAGGAAAGGGCCTTTGGTCCAGGGAGGAAAGTTTAGCAGAGACCTGGAGAAGACATCTCCTGAGCCCTGGGGCAGGTCCCGGAAGGCAGCTGAGGGAGCGTCTGCTGCTGGGGGTTGCTAGGGACTGGCCATCCAGAGGAGCCCGAGTGGTGTCGTGGTTACACGCTGGGCTGCGAGCCGCACGGTCAGCTGTTTGAAAGCCCCAGAGGCCCCCGGGAGAAAGACTGGGCTTTCGGCTCCTGTCAACAGCCACAGTCTCAGAAAACCCACAGGGTGGGTAGAGAGTTGGCTCTGACTTGGTGGCAGGGAGTCTGGGTGCTTCGTCATCTCGGAGGTTATGAAATGAGTGCCTGCAAAGGGTTCCGTCTGCGTGGCAAGCCCCAAGGCGAGAGTCAAGGGCTTTACAGACATCCCGTTGACCCCGGCGCATCCCGATATGACAGCACAGACCATGGTATGATTCAGGATGGTTCCAGGTATCTGCTGGGTTGGCTTCTAGGTGCGGCGCCTGGAGCAGCAGAACCAGGTGCTGGAGACCAAGTGGGAGCTGCAGCAGCAGCTGGACCTGAACAGCTTCAAGGACCACCTGGCGCCCGTCTTTGAGGGCCGAGTGGGCAACCTGTGGACGCAGCTGGAGACGCTGTCCGGGGACAGGGTGCGGCTGGACGCAGAGATGAGGAACATGAGAGACACGGTGGAGGACTATAAGAGGTGGGTGGGTCCCTCCAAAAGGTGGTGGGTCATGCTCCCTGGGGCTCCTGTGCCATTCTTAAAGAAAGCAGAGACCAAGCCCCCGGATCAGACTCCCACTCCCTTCTCTGGTGTCTAGAGAAAGGCCCAGCTATTTGGCCAGCACATCCTACTTGGTTAGCAGGAAGGGCATCCTGTGCTATCGACCCGTGGAAGGGTTCAGGTGGCTGCTGTGAGGCCTCTGGTCATTTTCCCCATAGGTGGAATGCAGTGGAGATAGGACAGGGGCATCTCCCTCCTCCAGCCACCTCTGCCATGCTCACCCATGGAAGACTCCTTGAGACCTCTGCCTCTTCAGTGGGGGAAGGAGCCTACTCGGCGCTGGCTGAGCCAGACGGAGGCCTCTCTACCTCCCCCCTTCCTGCAGATACCAGCTGGAGATGAACAGGTACCCGCTGCTGAGAATGAGTTTGTGGCCCTAAAGAAGGTAAGGGGAGAAAGGTCTAAGGACTCGAGTCTCTTACACCCTCCATCTGGGGTGGGGGGCCGGCTGGCCCCCAAATCAGGGTGAAGCCATAAATGCTGGGCTCCAGCAAGGGAGAGGAAAAAGCACCAACACTCAGGCAGGAGACAGGACAGAGACAAAGAGAAGTCTGCCCTGGGAATCAGGAAAGTGGTCCTGCTGGGTCTTCCCAGGCGACATGAGGATACGCCACCGTTCTGCCTGGCTTAGGGGCTTTGCGCCTCAAGGCGTCTTCCCAAAGGCTCGGGGAGACTGAGAAAACCGAGAAATTGATGCTGAGCAATCTTATTCGATGAGCTGCTGTCCTTTGTGGGCAAAGAAGAGAATGAGGCAATGGCTTTGTGGGCAGGGGCAGGGGCAGGGGCAGGGCGCCGGGCCAGGCAAGGCTTGTCCATGCTGGTGATCGGGAATGGCTGTCCGCAGGATGCAGACGCAGCCTATGTGGTCAAGGTGGAGCTTCAGCCCCAAGCGGACGCTCTGAACAAGGACATCAAATTCCTCAAGTGTGGAGAGGACATGCCCAGCCCCACCCAGTCCCATCCCCAGCCCTGCCCTTCCCTCTCTTTTGACTGGGATCCCTGGCAGCAGGAAGACCCTAATGGGAGGGAAGGAGGGTAAATGGAATGAAACTGTTAAGGAGGGAAGATTCCAAGCTTTACAATGGAGGGGCCTCAGACTGAGAGAGGTCAGCCTCCAGAGGTCATGTTCATAGGAGACAATCCCATCTGCACCACAAAGGAGGCCTTGCAACAAGCTCATTGCTGGGGCCAGAAATGACCCATCCCAGAAGGTTCTACTCAACCACAGATGGATGGGTGGGTGCCAGGGGGCCACCCAACTATCAAGGGAGGAGAGGCTCCCCTACCCCTCTGGCCCAGAGGGCATCGGGAGCTGGGCTCTGAGTGACCACAGTACTGGTAACGAGTGGAGCCAGGGGCCTCAGGCAAACCATGCAGCTCCAACAGACTGTGTGGTGCAGTGAAAAGAAGCCACTCCCGGGGTCAGACGCAGTGTTAAGCCCTGGCCTTGCCTCATGCTAGCTGCAGGGCCCCAGTGAATCATTGCCCGTCTGAGTCTCAGCATTCTCATCTGTAAAATGGGAATTACAATCTCCATCTCCCGGGACTACGGCAATGACAAAGCGGGGTGATTATACAGATCAAAGCAGGCGCCCAGTCAGGCCTCGTGCGCGGGAGCTGACAGGAGACACATCCCTGGGTCTTATCCTCCCAACCCTAGTCTTTCAGGAGGTCTGGTGAGACCCCGTCCACGGTGAGCATCTGTGAGTATCCTGGGGTTGGGGGACAGGGTGAGAAATCTGGGGAACCCGAGTCCAAAGCACCCCAGGGTCCCCTCACGATCTCACCCCACCCAGAAATTTGCCTAGCTCTCTGTGAAGGCTCCTTTGGCTTCAAAGGAAAACTATTTTCTTTCAGTCTACCTATATAGAAACCAGAAGGAGCCCTGGTGGTGTGGTGGTGACGCTATTCACTGGGCCGTTGACTGCAAGGTCAGCAGTTCAAAACCACCAATCGCTGCATGGGACAAAGATGAGGCTTCCTGCTCCTGTAAAGAGTTACTGTCTCAGAAACCCACAGAGGCTGTTCTACCCTGTGCTGGGTAGATATGAGTTGATATGAGTCAGAATCGACCCAGTGGCAGTGAGAGAGAGAAATCAGAGGGAGCCCTCGGGGCATCATGGTGACGCATTGGGCAGCAAGGCCAGCAGTTTGAAACCACCAGCCACTCTGAGAGAGCAAGAGGAGGCTTTCTACTCCCGTGAGCAGTGAGAGCCTCGGAAACCCACAGAGGCAGTTCTGTCCTGTGCTGTGGGTTCGTTCCCAAACCCTCAATGGCAGTGAGCTGGTTTCGGTTTATAGGACCTGTGTCTGCTTTCTTCCTGCCTCTGCTGGGACATTGCTGTCTAGAGAGAGGGTAGAGAATGCGAACCTTGCGGCCAACC